GTTTTTGGTAACTTTGATGTATTGCTATAAGGCCGCTTATCTTTGTATTGGAACATGACTGTTATCAACATTTGGTGGCTCCTAAAAGAGCCGTTTTGAGTTTGTTATTAAGCTGGGAGCTTAATGTTGTTTCTTCTCCGCCTTCTTGGGTAGAAGCACTGCTTGTATGTTGGGAAGAACTCCACCCTGAGCGATAGTCACACCAGCAAGAAGTTTGTTTAACTCTTCATCGTTTCGAACGGCTAACTGCAGGTGACGAGGGATGATCCTGGTTTTCTTGTTGTCCCGAGCAGCATTTCCAGCTAACTCGAGAATCTCAGCACTCAGATACTCCAGTACGGCAGCCAAGTAGACTGGAGCACCTGCGCCGACACGCTCGCCGTAGTTGCCTTTGCGAAGGAGACGATGGATACGACCAACAGGAAACTGAAGTCCTGCCCGGGATGAACGGCTCTTAGACTTGGTGCCCGGAGCTTTGCCTTTTCCTCGACCTGTCATTTTCACTTTCTGAATGTTCTCTTTGCTTGTTATCTCTGGCAAAGTTGAGTTGAACGATTTTGTTCTAGTCTAGTCAGCCCGAAACTATGACCCGGATTTTTATTTGATTTTTCTTCAAATCAGAGGATCAAAGCGCACCAATCAAAACCGCGCCGTACTCCGAACAAAAGATAATTAGCAGGCAAAATGCGCTGTCGGTAGCGTCGGCCTATGGGTAGTTGTCAGTTAATGAAATAACCAATCGGCGAAAGGCAATTTCGATCCGCATACTAATTAATCCTCCTGGATAATTTGTAATAAATAGCAGTTAAGTTACCGTGGCATGTTCAAAGCTGATCTCATCGGATCATCTAGAATTCCAAACAATTTTTCAGAGAAGCCAGATAAACATGGCACCGAAAGTTCCAGCAGCAAAGAAAGGCGAGAAGCGAGCGGGAAAAACTAAGTCGGCGGCAGTTGATGGTTCGGCCAAGAAAAAGAGGAAGGGAAAGAGAAAGGAGAGCTATGCGATCTACATCTACAAGGTCCTTAAGCAAGTTCATCCCGATACGGGTATTTCTAGCAAGGCCATGGGTATCATGAATTCGTTTGTGAATGATATCTTCGAGCGTATCGCCAATGAGTCTTCCCGCCTGGCGCACTACAACAAGAAGTCGACCATCAGCTCCCGCGAGATCCAGACCGCCATCAGGTTGCTTCTGCCCGGAGAACTTGCAAAGCATGCTGTCAGCGAAGGCACTAAGGCTGTCACCAAGTATACCAGCAGCAAGTAAACATCGACTCCAGCGTTGATTCACAACAAAAACGGCTCCTTTAGGAGCCACCACATGTCATAAAAAGCAATGTCCAACGTGTCAGTTCTTTAGTTATTAACCCCTTCTGCTCCTTTAATCGCCACACTACACAAGGCTTTCTTTTAAGCTTTCAGATTTGAGATAACTATTAGATTTAAGAGAAATATATACATAGAGTTTTTGTGTGTGTGTGTTTTTTTTTTTTGCAAAATAAAACTGTTTACAGCAATGAATGGCCCAGTTCAAGTTCTTTATGCTTTTCTTTATAAAGGATAGCTCGGAACGCTGCCTGTCAGTTTTTCACGCAAACTTTCCGTGTGCCGTCAACGTTTATCGTGGACTATTATAAGACTCCCCGCAAAAATCAACAAGCCAGTGGCACCTAATGTCATGTTCTCCGCGCGCGCATAATTTAACAGGCAGTTTCCGC